AGGAGAGGCTGGGGAGAGGCTGGCAGGAGAGGCTGGAGAGAGGCTGAGGAGAGGCTGGGGAGAGGTTGGCAGGAGAGGCTGGGGAGAGGCTGGGAGAGGCTGGGGAGAGGCTGGGGAGAGGCTGGGAAAGGCTGAGGAGAGGCTGGGGAGAGGCTGGGAAAGGCTGAGGAGAGGCTGGGGAGAGGCTGAGGAGAGGCGGCTGCAGCCTGGGCGCGTGCGCTGGCCAGCAGCATGGCTGCTGGGGGAGCATGGATGTGGGAGCCAAGATGCCCACGGTCCCTTGGCGACCCCGTATCTGATGTAAAAGCACAGAGGCCTGCCGTGTGTGGGGACGCGCCCTGCGTGGCGGCACAGGGTCCCCCAAAGGCCCCCAGTGGCCCTCCAGGGAGGGGCTCCGTGTCTCGGTTGGTGGGCAGAAGGGGTTTGGCAGCTGCAGACCCTGGGGTCCCTAGGACGGAAGCAGAGGGGAGCCCTCTGAGGCCCGTCACTCATCGGGGTGGTGGCCAGGGGAGGGGCGCACACCGGGAAGAGGGTCCTGGTCGGAAGCTGACCACACGTGAGGGACGGCGGGTCAGAAACCTGCCCCCGAGCACCACAGCGGCCCCAGGTGGACAGTTCGCTGGGGTCTGCGGAGCGAGAGGCATGAGTGCGGGSACCCACTCCCCCAGCCCTCGCCCGCTGGTTCCCGCGGCTCTGCACTTCCTGGGGGCCGCGGAGCACCAGCGTGGATGGTGACTCGTCACAGCAGGGCAGGCCAGGGGCTGGGCGTCCAGGCCCAGGGGCCCGTGTGGGTGCGGCCAGAGCTGGAGCTGCCTCTCTTGCAGCAAGGGGCACCCAAGGGGGCCCTGGCTCTCCCTGTGCCTGCGGCCCTGGAGGCTGGAGYGCCCACTTGTCCCGGGGGTGTCACAGCAGAGCCACCATCCGGCCCCCCGGCTGTGCCCAGGAGGCTTCTTGGTGCAGTCAACGACTGGCTTCCGTCCCCCAAGAGCCTTCCTGCCTCAGCTGCCCAGGCCACCAAGTGCCCCTGGGAGTCTCCAGGCCGCAGCTCGCTCCCGCAGGGCCTCTGGAGAAGCGTGGAGGCACTTTGTGTGTGAGGGCCACCGGGACTGGACGCAGGGCCCTCGGCCACTGGGCCGCCCCAGCCCGKGCTGTGTTCTCACTGAGTTRCTGAGCGCCTGGCCTTTGCTGAGGCTGGCCGTGAACTCACGGTCCTCCTGCCTCAGCCTCCAGGGCCACGGGGCTCACAGGCGTGGCCACCACACCTGGCCTTTGAGGTGCTTTGTCACGGCTTCTGTGGAAGCTCAAAGAACCGGAAACAGGAAAAGGAAACAACCAATTCACAGCTTCTCACCCGCAAACGACCGGAGAAGAGTGTGCACTGTCTCCTCTCAGCTGCCCCTTTAACACCTGCCTGCCCGTGGGCACCTGGTCCTAGGCCCGYCCTCCGCCCTGGCCCCGGGCGCTGCCCGCTTACTCGGTCTCCCTCAGCACGGCCGCGATCCTCGACTGCAGGTCCTGCTSGTTCTGCAGCTCTGTGTGCAGGCGTCTGGACGTGGCCTGGAGACGGCCCACGGCGGCCCTGGAGCACCGCCCCGGGGGACGGCCAGGGTCAGCACCGGGGGCCTCCGCCTTCTCGGGAGTCAGTCTGTCTGAACTGGTCAGCTCGGGGCCTGGGGGCGGACGCTCACTGCTGTGGCCTCTCCTGTTCTCTGGGGAAGCTTCGGGCCCTCAGAGCACCCAGGGACCCCGAGTCCCCCCGGCCTCTTCCTCCTGGGCTGCCGCTCTCCCCGGGCACCCCCCACCTGGGCAGTGAGCAGGGGTCCTCCTGGTGGTGGCACGCTGGGGGCTCTGCCTGGGGGAGGCCCTGCTGTGTGGGGACGGGCCTGAGTGAGTGGTCAGTGGTCAAGTCGGGCTCAGGTGGACACTGGCTGCCACTGGAATCAGGGTCAAGGGGCCGTGGGGCCCTGGACCGCCCTGACAGCATGGCCATGCCTGGCCCCGGCCTACTGGCCGCCGACCACCTACATGTTGTTGGCCGCTCCCTCCCTGGCCATCTCGGCRGCCACGGTCTCCTGCTGTTTGCTGAGGAGGTCCACCCTCTGGCGGCAGGCCCGCAGCTCTTCTCTGAAACGCCCAACAAGGACCGGGTGGTGGCTTTGAAGCTGCGGCCTCGCCCGGCTGGGGGCTGGGGCAGCGCATCTTTCCCAGGTCCTCTGTCCAGTGACAGGACAGGGCCTCGTCACCCACGTTCCCAACATTCTGCCAAGGGACTGGCTCTGCGGCCCAGGTCACCCACAGCCCCAGCGTCCACGRGTCATGAGCAGTTGGCACTGCAGCTGGCCATTTCAGAACGCTGGCTGGAGTGGCCCTGGGGCCTGACCGCACACTGGCTCCTGTCACGTGACTTTGGCAACCAAAGAGAACCCCAGGGAGGGCTGAAGGGACGTTTAGAGGAGAATGGGGAAACAGCAGCAGGAGGTACCCTRGCATGATGCTAGGCTGGACCAGTCTCCCCGGGGGCCTCGGGGTGGCGGGCATGAGGAAGAGAGCTCTTAGAGAGCAGCCAGGTGGCACGGTCAGCAGTCTGCCGTCAGATAGTTCAGTAAGAGAAACGGACGACGCAGGGCCYGGGTGGCCGCGGCCAGCAGCTCACCTGGTCTTCTGGAGGAAGAGGCCTTTCTCCTCCTGCATCCTGTCCAGCAGGTCCAGGTGCCTGCGCAGCTCCGTCTCCTGGGTCCGGTCTCCCCCGGGGGCCGYGCTCCTGCCCTCTCCAGCACCGGCCGTAGCAGCGCATTCTTCCCTGGCGGAGCTTGAATCCAGGAGGGCAGCGGGTTGCCCCCTGCCCGGTGCCACCCGCAGACCCGCGCCTGCCCGCCCTCCCCGCTCCACTGCAGGAAGGCCCCCGGGAATCACCCGCAGTCTCCCGCGGCAGCCGCGCTCCCGGGGCGCTCGGGGACAGACTCCACCTCCACCTCCAGTTCCGGGTGTCTCCCTGGAAACCGAGGCCAGAGTTAGACAGCGGGCAGCCGCTGGGCACAGCGGCCCCGCCTGAGATCTCAGGGACGTGGGAGGCCGAGGCAGGAGGATCACAAGTTCAAAGCCAGCCTCAGTGACTCAGTGAGGCCCTGAGGACTTGGCACCCCAGGTTCAACCTCCAGTAGGAAGAGAGGACAGCAAAACCGGCTTAAACTGGATGAGCAAGGGTAGTTCTCAAAGTGTGGTCCAGGGGCCCTGGGGGTCTGTCGGCTGTCTCAGCACCACGTCGTGCGCCTGCCGTGACGTGGCTGGAGGCCACGGGACAGGCAGGTGCAGTGTCCTCCACTGACCCAGAGCACACTGCTTACAATAGTTGATTCCTGCTATGGGCTATAAGTGAATGAGTGTGGGTACGTGAATGAGTGTGGGTACGTGAATGAGTGTGGGTACGTGAATGAGTGTGGGTGTGTGAATGAGTGTGGGTAAGCAAATGAGTGTGGGTATGTGAATGAGTGTGGGTACGTGAATGAGTGTGGGTACGTGAATGAGTGTGGGTA